TCCCTCCACCCATCCACCCATCCATCCATTCATCCAACCAACCAACTAAATTACAAACTATGAAAGACACAAAGGCCTATGGTAGGACCTTGATAAAAAAATTCTTTGGAAACACCAGTTTTTCCAAATGCCACATATTATAAGCCATATTTTTTATACCCTCAAAAGAAATATATTTATGATAACGCTGTTCCAGATGAGTGAACGCTGTGCATTCTTTTTAAAGTGAAGCAGTAAAGGTCTGTTATTAAGGGCGAGGTTGAAAGGGTGAATCATCATGATAACTGGACAGAGGTGCAGAAACTACATGAATTGGAAAATAGTTATTTATGAAAGGGAAGTGTTGCTTCATGTGCTCCTTGTTTTTTTTTTTTTTTTTTTTTAAGACAGAGAAGTGGCTGAAGTTTTGTGTTTATAACAGAATATTCTGAAACCTGAGCACAGTGATTCCTAAACAGTAAAAATCAATGAACTGTGCCAATAAATACATTTTAATAATGAATTGAAATGAACATATATTTGATATAAACATTTCTTGCCCTATCTGGTGAAAGTCCATATTGATGCAAAATTAATCCATGCATGTAAAAAGAAAGTGAGCAGCAGTGAATTTTAAGAAACATTGGTATATTTGCATTTCTACTTAGAGAAATATTTCAGTGACTTTACATCTAAAATTGATCATTAGAAATTGGATAGCATTTAAAGTTTTAAAATCCTTTCCTTGCAATTTTTATACAATTCAAAATGAACGGCACTCATTTATTATTGAGGGTAAATTTAAATAAACCAAAGCTGCTACATTTTTCAAGATTGAGAAGTTGAGGAAAAATGGCAGAATTTCTAAAGTCTTTACACATTTTTATGAAAAAGTGAGTATGTAAATACAGCTTGAACTCAGAATTAAAGAAGGCAGACCAGAAAAGAACTCAGAATTACTCTTTAATCAATCAATAATTTCGACAAAGTGCCATTGCAAAGACTTTTCTGAACTTCCTCAGATTGGTCCACATTTATTCACAGCCTTCCCCTGCCTGTATGAATAAGTAATGTGCACTTCGCAAACAATATATATCTGTTAAAACTTATTACTTTAAAAATCCCCTATTAAATTATCTCAAACAGAAAAACTGGTGGTAACTTACTAGCCTAATAACCTGCCTTTACAGAGGAGATAATATAAATATTAAAATGTTGTTAGTATGCTCTCAAGTATCTCTCTTTGTCAGAAGACAAATGCAGCCTTAACAGCCATATATGTTTATATTTAAAATGTCAACAGTTCAAGTTACACTACAAATAAGTACGGTTAGAGCTTTTACCAGGATCTCTAGGAAAAAACCCCAAGCTCGGGCCTGTGAGGAAATGCCACTTGCTGAGACGGTCATTGCCGCAAAGCAGCAAAATGCTAGCCCGCCACGTCTTCAGCGGCTATAGATTATTTCACTTAAGAAGTAAAGTGAATTTTGACGTTTCCTTCACCTTGTCTGGAATGCCCTCGCCGGTTAAAAATTTAGGAAATTGGCTTTTTCCGCGAGTTTAACAGCTCAGTGCCGCACACACAGACGGCTGGTGACAAACGGGGAAGCGACCGCACCCGGGGAGCTGCCACCGAGGCTCGCGGGGAGTGAATGAAAATTGACCTACGTACCTTGCAGCTGAATCTTGTTCTCAGGACTCTGAACCAGAACAGAGCTGACTGAATCTAGGTTGTCATAGTTACTGCAGCCAAGGGGACCTGTCCGCGTTTCTGTTACCTGCCAAAATAAATCATCAACTTTATTATATAAATCAGACTTTACCGTGCTCTCTGGGCTCAGGGCAGTTGTCACACAGGGATGGTGTATGTTCGACGGCAAACATCTGGACGGTCTAGGAGCGGATCCACGGCAGAGAGCAGACAAGCAACTCCCTTTGTCTTTAATTCCAGGCATAAATCTTCCGGGGAAACCATGGGAGCCTCTTCGGTCAAAAGCATCACTCAGAGAAGGTCACCGGTTTTACCCGAGCCATGACGGGCATGATCCTTTAGGCAGAGGGCAAGTGTTGACTCATCTAAGAACTGGTTTTTTGTTGGATCACTTTTTCTCCATAAATCAGAACTATCTACCCGGCTACTGTCTAAAAACTGATTTTCGTATTTTATTCTGCTACTTAAAAAATCTGCAAATGGCCCCTCTTTGATAGTCACATCGAAGTCTAACCTCTTCTGCGGGGCTCCCCTTTACCCAGCTCCCCGCCCCGGCAGCTTACCTCGCTGCCCAGGCGGACTTTCTTAATTCTGAGTCTTTGCTTACACAACACATTCCTCCCCCACGCCACCGCTGGCCCCCGTGATTAATTGATTTTATTTATCCTCGAGATTAAGCTCATGTTCAAACACCCACACAAAGTATTCCTCAATGATTTCCACTTGCATTATTTTACCATTTGTGTCAAGTTATGGTTTGCAGCACACAGCCTCAGCGCTTAATTATGGAATCCCATATTGTAGACAGATTTCTCCATGGGTGTCTTGGGATGGGTAGTGTCAGGAGATGAGGAGGAGTTTAATCAATTATGTGAGACTAGACATTTATCCTAAGGATGTATTTTTAAAACCTAACATATTTTAAAGCAGAGGAATTTTGTATAATCTTTGTAACTGAAAACAAACACCCAAAACATTCTCTTCTCAGCAACCAGAATATTTGGAAACATCATTCAGATCACGTCATTCCAGCACGCACAACCCGCCATGGCTCCCATCTCACTCAGGGTAGGAGCCAGAGCCCCTTTAAGCCACAAAATACACCATATTATCCAGCCCCCTCTTTCCTCTCTGAAGTCCCCTCATCTTTTCCTGATTCATCTGCCCCAACCACACTGGCTTCTTTTTTTCAATCTATCTCTTTATTGATTTCAGAGAGAGGAAGGGAGAGAGAGAGAGAGAGGGAGAGAGAAACATCAATGATGAGAGTCATGGATCGGCTGCCTCCTGCACGCCCCGACTGGGGACTGAGCCCGCGACCCGGGCCTGTGCCCTGACCGGGACTCGAACCACGATCTCCAGGGTCCTAGGTCGGTGCTCAACCACTGAGCCACGNTTTATTGATTTCAGAGAGAGGAAGGGAGAGAGAGAGAGAGAGGGAGAGAGAAACATCAATGATGAGAGTCATGGATCGGCTGCCTCCTGCACGCCCCGACTGGGGACTGAGCCCGCGACCCGGGCCTGTGCCCTGACCGGGACTCGAACCACGATCTCCTGGGTCCTAGGTCGGTGCTCAACCGCTGAGCCACANAGAGAAACATCAATGATGAGAGTCATGGATCGGCTGCCTCCTGCACGCCCCGACTGGGGACTGAGCCCGCGACCCGGGCCTGTGCCCTGACCGGGACTCGAACCACGATCTCCTGGGTCCTAGGTCGGTGCTCAACCACTGAGCCACGCCGGCCGGGCTTCTCTATGTTCCTGGACCACGCTAGTTGCGGAGGTGCTGGCCTGCTGGGCCCCACCTGAGTGCTCTTCGACGGTTTCTAAGCTCAGTCCTGCGCCTCCCTCCGGCTGCTGGTGGGAGGCCTCTGTCCTGGGGCTGCCTGGACTACCTCGGGTCACAGGGACACACCTTCTCCCAGCGCCCCCCCCAAACACTGCTGCTTCCTTCCCTCCTGAGCTGCTCTGCTTTTCCCTGGGGGTTGTCACCCCCTAACCTGCTGCTCGATGCCTCTTTGATCATGACCACTGACAGCCCCCCTCCTTAGAGCGCAGGCTCCAGGGGGGCAGGAGACAGGATCTATTAGCTCGCTGGGGTATCCGTTGCCCAGAACGTCTATCAGGTTCCCACGTGAGCCCAGGGAGCTGGGTAAGGGAAAGGGAGGGGGCCGTGTGAGGGGAAAACCACACCAAGGAGACACAGAGGCCACTCTGGAGATGATAAAGGGCTGGACTGAGCAGGGACAATCATTTTTATCTGAAAGAAATGGATCGGAAGAAACAATTAGCGCTGGCAAGATTATGAAACACTGAAAACGTACGCGAGGAAGAATTAAGAGGTTAAAACCCTCGGGATATTTTAACGCCTTAACTCATTTACCTCACCTTAAAGCTTTCTTTATGTTACACTGTGGCCATTAGACAATTACTTCACCATCATCTACTTATGTTAACTTCTTTGCTTGGTTAACCGTAAACTCCCCACTCACAAGAATTACACACGGTACCCGGCACGTGGCAGGAATTCAAGAACGGCGGGGAAATATTGCATTCGTGGTTAGAAATCTCTGTTGCAAAGGACACTTAAGCTTACCCATTAAGCTGTCTTTCAGAACCTCTTGAAGCAAATGCAGCAGGGCCAGCTGTGTGGGTTCCTAAACATCGCCCAGCCTCACCCTGGCATTACGCACGTGAGGGACCTGGAGCCCGGGGGGCGTCCAGTTAGCTCGGTGTCGTGCAAGGGCCTCGAGAGCTGGAACTGGGGCCTGAACTCCCGACTCGTAAGGCAAATGCCCACGTAAGAGTCATACTGGCTTTCCAATCTCTACACTCAAGTTTTCGAAACTTTGCCTGCCTCAATCAGTCTGACTCAGTCCCATTCACTGTCTCTGACTCTCTCTCGCAGTAAAGTCACAATAAAGCACCATTTAATTGATGTACAGGTCAATGAGAATGGTGTGGTATCTTGAGTCCTTGTCAGGACAATAAATATTGCTATAAGAATGCTTGTTACTATTTGATTGAAGGCCAAAGGAACTGGCTTTTATTCCAAGTATTAATTTATTAGCATTTTGAAATAGAAATCCCCACACATTCTTATATTACTCTATACTGGATTTTAGAAAGTAAAATAGTTTTATTTTTTTCTACTGTTAATATAAGAAGCATTTAAAATAAAGTGGTCATATTGATATAAATCCATTTCAGTAACAAAGACTTCCTTAATTTTTTAAAAATTGTTCTGTTACTTAGTAAGTTTTGTGAGAAAAGTGCAAATTCACCTATAAAACGCTCTGTCCTCAAGTAAAAAATACAAGAGTCCATCATGGCTAAATGTCCTTGCATCTCCACACAATAGCAAACATTGTGTTTGGTGCATTGGACACAATTAATCTCCTGATTTAAAATATAGTTGACACTGTCAGTGTTTCTTGAACCCGCTCCAACAATTTAATGGAAGTTTAAAATAGTCCATGATATATAATCAATGCCAAGATGACTCATATTTTCACATCAAAAGTACAAAAACAAATCAAATACTAATTCAATGGAAAGCAGAATCGTTGTTGAATTATTTATCTATGCAAATGACTTTTTGCAGAAAACTGTTTTCCCAGTTCCATTCCCCATCATTGAACTCTTGGAGTCGCTTATCCTGGGGTGGCACCTTTAGAGCTATGGAGAGGTTCTGCTGCGGGGGGGACGGTCATCCTTGACCCACGAGGAAAAAGAGTGTGACCACAAGCGATGCTAAGCCGGGTGCACCCACATCCACGGAACAGGTACAAGTAAAGAGCATAAGTATGAAGCGTAAGCAGCAGAGGCGAGAAACAGGCTGGAGAGTGTGACACGGCCTAGTGAGGCCGGAGAAGAGCCACATAAAAGATGGAGCTCAGGTGGGACTCGGGGACACAGCAGGGCAGGCGTTCCTGGGGAGCCACTGCTTGGTGCAGTTTTCACTTNGACTCGGGGACACAGCAGGGCAGGCGTTCCTGGGGAGCCACTGCTTGGTGAATTTTCACTCGCAGCTGCCCCATGGTGCAGCCTTGGTTACAATGATTGGCCTGTGTTTTCTACGCCCCGTAAACCACCTTCCATCAGAAGAATGCACATGGGCTCCACCAGGGAGCTGGGGGCTCTCTGAGCATCTATTCAAATACAGAAGTGGCTCAGTGGTAGAGCATCGACCTGGTTGAGGATCCAGGAGATCGCGGTTCGATTCCCGGTCAGGACACGTGCCCGCGCTGGGGGNAATACAGAAGTGGCTCAGTGGTAGAGCATCGACCTGGTTGAGGATCCAGGAGATCGCGGTTCGATTCCCGGTCAGGACACGTGCCCGGGCTGGGGGCTCAATCCCTGGTCAGGGGTGTGCAAGAGGCAGCCGATCAATGACNGGGGGCTCAATCCCTGGTCAGGGGCATGCAGGAGGCAGCCGATCAATGACTCTCATCACTGATGTTCCTATCTCTCTCTCCCCCTCTCCCTTCTTCTCTCTGAAATCAATAAAGATATATATGTATGTACATATATATTTTAAAAACTTACAGGATCTTATTATTACACTAGAGTTGGCTAAGAGTTTTCTGATGCATTCAATATTAATAATGAAAATAGCAGAGCTTCACTGCCAAGGGGCATTACAAACAACAGATACAGATTGTGACCCCATCAGGGCTGAGGCCTGCTGTCTGCATTCAGGCGACAGTCACTGGACAGCCACCTCACTTGCTACTGACACTGTGGGCCACATGCCATTTCCCTGAACGGAAGAAATCACATTTTCACGAACTCAGGAGCCACAGGTTCTTTTCTGTTGCTTCACATAAAAAAATAAATGTTATGCAGGGCAGCGTTTACTATATTTATTTTAGAAATGAAGGCAAGCAGAAGTTGCTAAACATGTAGAGCGCTTTTCTTTTCTTTTATTGTTTATCCTATGAATTGCCATCACAGTGCCTTTTAGTTATTGAATCTACTTAAAAGGACCCCAAGCTTTACAAGGCAATGGCAAAAATATGTCTAGATCCAAGACCAGAACAGGAATGCTAGTTCTTTTGGAGCTCA